GAGCACGCCTGGCACTCGGGGTCGTGCGTGCTGGACCGGGGTGGGTTCCGGAGGCATCTTTCCCGCGTGCTTTGTGCCGTCGCGTTACAGGCTCTCAGCTTAATCTGCCTCGTGTTCCCGAAACGTTCCTGCTGCATCTTATCCAAGTTCATGTAAGGTCCACACCAACACGATCCGTCTGGATAAACGTGTCCTCTGGCTGCGACACTTCCCGTTCTGTTTTCCTCAGCCTGGACTTCCTGCCGCTCTGGCTGAGCGGTGTGTGCGCGTGCACCCCTAGACACGTCAGCGCCAGACCCGGCTCAGGCATCGGCAGGCCCCCCGTCTCTCGGCGTCAGTTTTGTCTGTTTGCTCACCCAGAAGATGAGGGCGTTGGGCTTAGCTGGCTCCTACGTCCCTTTCAGCCCAAAATTGCTTTGGTAAGCCCTGGAAACAGAAAAGCCAGAGCTTTTGTTAGTGGGAGGCATTGTTTTCTCTTGCGCTTGGACACATTTGTACTGCCCTTCATCTCCAAGTTCCTGTTTGGGGTACCTGGGCTTTGCTGTCCCCGGGGCCAGTTTCATGGGCATTTCGTGAGAAGCTCCGTGAACCCACCGCACTTGGAGCAGTACAGCTGTGAACATGAAAAGCACCATGGGTTCTCTCTGAGTCTGCCTGGGCTAGAGGCCACTCAGCCCAGGGGGCAGACGGGGGACAGCTCAGTGGGATGAGCCTGGTGGGTGCCACTTTCCACCAGTAGATGGGGACAGGGGTCCCTCAGAGGCTGCTGGAGCAGGCAGTTTGTGAGCGGGGAGCAGTTGGAAGGCAGGGTGAGAAGCCCATTTGCTTAGAGCCAAGCCCAGTGCTGTGGGACCTGGCCAACCATGAGGCCAGAAAGGGGGTGGCACCCACCGTGGCGGGTGGCATGCCACAGGGCCAGGGTACCCTGCAGGCAGCAGGGACTGGCCAAAGCCCCTTGCCCGGCGCAGTCCCGGTGGGCTGGCGAGGCTTGAGGACACTAGCTGAGAGGCCCCTGAAGCAGTCTCGGCAGCACGTGGCAAGGCGCTGGCTGCAGACTCTCATGCCTTCACGAGGCACGAGCACACGGCCTGCTGTGCTCCGGCGCCGTGTCCGCAAGACGCTGGACGCATGAGGTGGACGGCTTCTGGTTGCTGCTCTGCCTGCCTGCAGCTTCCGCCGCAGCGTGTGGTCCTGGCCACCGCCTCCACGTCTGCAGCTGCCAAGGTCACGGCTCCACAGCGTGCGGTCCTGCCCGGCAAACCCAGGGCAGAGTCGGCGTCCTCGGGAGGATGTTCTAGATGAGGAAACTGGAGTCAGTGACTCAAAAACAAGCCTGTCTTATCTGGCAGACGCAGCCTCTCGCATTTCCAGCTCACGTTATCTAAGCTAAGCAGTATTTTCGCTGCACTTGACAACGAAGATGAGTCCCCTCACCCGAGGACAGTCACTGTGGGCCCTGGGGGTAAACAGGTGCCTGCGTGCACAGCAGCAGGGCCTTGGGGAATGGCAGCTTAGAAATAGCCCATCAGGTGAACACTTCACTTTTTAACTTGAACTTTGTCTAGTCAAGATTTCAGTGTGTAAAGCCAGCTCCGTCTGGAGAGGTTCTTGATGAGCAGGGACAGTAATGGTTTATCCTGTAGTGCTGGCGGCGTGGAGTAGATCAAACGTGCCTCCTTCCTCGTAACAGTTAGTGAGGAGCCTTGTCTTTTGGGAACAGGAGACGGCAGCTTGGTACGCCCCCCCCAACATGAGGCCTTGTTTAAAGAAAACTGGACAGCCCACAGCGCCCCTTTGGCTTGTAAATATCAGAGCATGTTGTGGGCTGTAACTAAATCGCGGGGTACTTGCTGAAAGGGGTGTGGCTCTCTCCCTGGCACCCGCTTCAAAGGACACTTAGTAATAAGCAGGAGCAGGTGCACACACACTCACAGTCTGAACGCACACCAAGACTGCACATAATTTTTTAGCATTTCCAAATGATTTTTAAATCTGAAACTTATTTATTCCATTTTATAAGTTGCATCTTTTCATTTTTATGAAGTTCTGAGGATGAATAAGCCAAAATTTTAGGCTGTCGACTTCTTTCTTTGATTGGAATTTTTATTGAGACATTGCAGATTCGCATCCACTCGTGAGAAGGGACAGCTTCTCGCACACCCTTCCGCCAGTTCCCCGACGACATCCTGCAGAGCAGGACGCTGCCACAACCATGGCGTGCCAGCTTTCCCTTTATTAAAAAGTCGTAAAACATACACGACGTAAATTGACCAGTAGTGTCATTTAGTGTAGTCACAGTGTGTGCAGCCTTTATCACCGTCTAGCTCCAGAATGTTCTCACGCCCACAGGGGGCCCCGGGCCTAGGAGCAGTCACTCGCCGCTCCCCGCCCCTCCGGCCCCTGGCAGCCACTAATCTGCCGTCTCTCGCGTGGATTCCCCCCCCATGTGGCGTCTGCGTGGCGTCGTGGAATTCGCGTCCTCTGCTCAGTGTCCTGTGGCCGAGGTTCATCCGTCCGTGTCGGGATCAGCCCTTCCTTCCTTCCCATCGCCGAGCCATTCCGCGGCTGGCGGGCCTTGTCTTGCTGTGCTTCGTGCCCCTCCGATGCTCTTTCCATCCTCGTCGAGGCAGGACCCTTCCCCAGCAAAAAGAGCATGACTCACCGAAGGCTCAGATGATGGCTAGCAAGTTTTATCAAAGTACTTTTTAGTTAAGGCGTACGCATCGTTTTGAGACGTCTTGCTGTGGCACAGTTGATAGCCTTCAGTGTCATGTAACGTAGCTTTCACACGCCCTGGGAAACCAAACAGTCCACGTGACTCGCTTTATTGCGGTGGCCTGGACCAGACCCGCAGGGCCTCCGCGGCGTGCCCGAGGCTAAGCCACGTTGTGTTTACCCGGTCGTCAGGTGATGGGCATTTGGGTGGTTTCCACCCCTGGGCTATTGCGAAGAATGTCGCTGCACCAAACATTCGAGTGGTTTTGTTTCAACCTCTTCCAGTTCTTTCAGTGTCTGTCTAGGTTGGGGTTTCTGGGTCAGGGGGGAGCTCTATGTTTTACCTTTTGGGGACCTGTCAAACTGTTTTCCGCAGCAGCTGCACCATTTTACATTCCCATCGGCAAAGGAAGAGTTCCTGTTTCTCGACATTCTCTCCAATGACTCGTTTTCCATTTTCTTTTTTTCTAGCCATCCTGGTGGGTGTGGGGAGCATTCTCATTGCGGTTTTGATCTGCGTCTCCCTAACGACTAAGGATGTTGAGCATCTTCTCACGTGCTTGTTGTCTATTCGAGTCTTTTGCCCTTTAATAATTTGGTTTGTGTTTTTGTTGTTGGATTTTAAGAGTTCTTCATTTGTTCGTGATATGAGACCCTTATTAGACGTATCATTTGGGAACAGTTTCTCTCATTTTTGTGGGTTGTCTCTTCGTGTCTTTGTGGTGGCCTTTGACGTACCAAAGTTTTTTATTTTGACAAAGTCCAATTTGTCTCTATCTTTTCGTGCTTCTACCTTTGGTGGCATCTATAAGAAACGACTGCCAGATTTAGTTCTTCCATTTGTTTTTGGTCCGTTTCAGGTGAACGTCTTTTACGTGGTGTGAGGTGAGGGTCGAGCCTCAGCTTTCGCATGTGGATGTTCAGGTGTTCCAGCACCATTTGTTGAAAAGACTGTTCTTTTCCAATTGAATGATCGCAGCACTGTTTCTCATCCGCCCGAATCAGAACCACCTGAGCGCTCGCTTGTCTGAGCGGTCACTTCTGGGCCCCCGTCCCAAAGTCTGATGCAGAAGGCCTGGCCCCGAACCCAGGAATGTGCCATTTTAACAGCGCCCACCGCCCCGAGTCCCAGGGACTCTGAGGTTCGGGAACCCCTGGACCTGGTCTACTCACCTTCCCTCTGAGGGACGTGGGTTCAGCAAGATCAGGTTTCCTAGCTTGAAAATGGCCTCTGTGGGGTGGAGCAGCCATCATGGACTGCTTCCTGACTCCCCCATTTTGTCCCTGCTCGGCCACTGGAGCAGGGCCGCTGGGGCTGGTCCCGGTTGGCATTTGTGAAGCGGTGCCTCCTGCGCCGTGTCCAGGAGCCCACGGGGCGAGTGGCTGAGGTGGGTGAGCTCTGTGAAACCCTTCGCTGCTTTGTCACCCACGTTTTCCACGCGGCCTGCAGCGTAAGCCCTTCGCTCCCAGAGGCCGGGGTGGCGTGCCCACCTGATGCCATGGAGCCCTCGGTCTGGCCGGGGAGCCTTTTGCTCCTTGCACCCCATTTCCTACCATCTGCCCCCGGGCACGTTTCCAGACCTCGCAGAACCCCAGGCCCCAGCACCCCGCAGGCCTCCCCACCAGGGACTGAGGAGCCAGACCTCACACGGGGCCGCGCTGCTCCTCCCACCACGGCCGCCTGGCCTCGGGCCACCATGCTGCGGCCTTCGGTCTCAGTGTGGCCGTCGGTTTCTAGGGCAGCTTCCCGGGCCTCGCGGTCTGAGCCCGTGTGTCCTCAGGTGCCTCGCCGTCACCTCGTTGTCACTTGTGCCACTTTTGCCTGTTGCAGTCTTAAACTTCTGTGACTGTTTGATTAACGACATGGCTCTCACCAGACTTTAAAATCCAGGAGCCAAGAAAATTGAACACTAGTACCTGGCACAGTGCCTGGCAGGTGGTAGATGCTCAA